GCTAATTACAGGCGGCTTACGTGGCGTATGCATAACGCTTGAGAACTTTTTCCTTTTTAATTTTTCCTCCTTTAAAGTGTTGTTTTAAAGCATCTCATTTTAAATTAAGTCACGTGCGTTGTTTGGCAAAAATAAATTAGTAAAAGGAAAAAATAAACCACTTGGATGGCAAACCTTACAAAGGATATTCTGTCTGCCACAATTATGTCCTTGTCTCCCCACTCAGCTGCCATCGTTTTGCGGTTTCTCACAGCATTGAATTGTCTTTGGATTGACACTGGAACAGCTATAGTTCAAGACAATTTTGCATTTAATTAAGCTAGTTGAAGGTGAAGGAGCGAGGATGCAAACGGGATGAGCCACAGGATGTCCGATTCTCCTCTGAATTGCTCCTCCCCTTTCGTTTGTTGTGGTCAGCAATTAAAAATTCAAATCACAATTATGTCGGCAGCTGTTCCTCTACTCCTTCTGATTGCAAATTACGAAGCAAATGTCCCTAAAGTACCCACAAAGGACATCCCCTGGATGCGGCTCAGCCGCTCTCGATTGTTATGAAAATGCGGTTTTGTTAATGGAAATAATCTGTTCGACAATTTACCAGTCAAAGAAGATGGCAAAGTACTTTGGAAATAATTAAAATATTTATGCTTGGTTTACGATTCAAGTTCGGCTTAACTAAACTCAACTATGAACAAACAAATTGAAAGTGCTTTCAATTTGACATTCTGAAACTTAAAAGGTGTCAAAAATTGGCAATAATGAAAATGGGAAAAACCGAGGAAAGTGCCACTGGGAATGGCATTTACAGAGGTGACACCTGCTAAAAGTTTAGCAGCAAACATAGCTGCCAAAGAGTATGGAAGTTGGAAAAGTGTTAACTTGGGCAACAGTGTCACAAACTGCAGGCACTTTGGAAAAACAAATTGAAAGCATTCCAAAGTTTTGTGGCGGCCATTGGGGGAAAGGTACACAGCTGCCAGATATTTCTGGTCCGAGATGAATCAGTTATTGACAAGTCTCAAGCGTCAATTGAGGCGAATTAATCACAGGACGAAGCATCGATGCGAGTTCAAGGATCTGCAACGCTCGACTGATTAGCTGCGATTATCCTGCACGCTCACACTCTCACACCCACAACAACTTGGCTCACATCTCAGCTGCTCATTGAGGCATCAAACCTGTCGTCTGCCATACTAATTGAATGAAATTTCATTTGCGCAACTTTGGAAGATTTTCACAGAACGTTCGGAACGTCAAGTTGGTCAGCCTCTCAAGGGGATTTCCCAGGCCGAACTCGGCAGAGAACCCTCCAGATGTGGAGAGGAATATGCCGGGATATTATCGCACTCTTCAGTGAAGGAAGCAGATGAAGCCTCGGAACGGAACCGATCTAAAGTTGACGACCATGGCACACGTAAAAAGGACAATGATTTGAGAGTATGCACTTGGAATGTACGCACATTGTACAGACCAGGTGCTGCTCAACAACTAGCAGATACCCTCAATAAATGTAGGGCTGACATCACTGCTATCCAGGAAATGCGATGGATAGGACAAGGTTGCCTTAAGAAGAAGAACTGCGACATTTACTACAGCTGCCATCCAGAACGGCATGAATTTGGCTGTGGCTTCGTTGTAGGCGCCAGACTGCGGCGCCGGGTCTCTCACTTTCTGCCAATAAACGAGAGACTTGCAACGATCCGAATTACTGCCAAATTCTTCAACATCAGCCTGATATGCGCGCATGCCCCAACCGAAGAAAAGGACGATGTCACCAAGGATGCTTTCTATGCGGAGCTCGACCGGGCTTATGGCCGCTGTCCTTCCCATGACATTAAGATCCTCCTTGGGGATTTTAATGCCAAGGTAGGGCGAGAAGACATCTTTGGTGCCACCGTCGGGCAATTTAGTCTACACGAGACCACCTCGAGCAATGGTCTCAGATTAATAGGCTTTGCTGCAGCGCATAATATGGTAGTTCGTAGTACTGGGTTTCGTCATTTGGACATACACAAGGCATCATGGCTCTCTCCTGATCGACTGACCAGAAATCAGATCGATCATGTTGTGATCGATGCAAGGCATGCATCTAACGTACTCGACGTGCGATCCTGTCGGGGTCCCAACATCGACTCCGACCATTATCTTGTTGCAGCTAAGATTCGCACACGGCTATGTGTTGCGAAGGTTGCACGTCGAGGACTGTTGAGAAAGCTGGACATCGGGAAGCTGCAATCACAACGGACAAGGGATGCATTCTCCACTCAAGTCTCAGGCCTGCTGAGCCGAGCAACTCCAACACCTGAAGACATCAGCAATATGTGGGCACTCATATCCCACTCCCTGCGAACTTCTGCAGAAGAGGTCATCGGATTCCAACGTGCCCCAACGAGGAATCCATGGTACGACCAGGAGTGTCGCGACGCAACAGCTGCAAAAGACGCCGCCTACAGAAGAACACAGCAAGCTGGGGCCACAAGGGCTGTTGTCGAGGTCTACAGGTCAAGGAGGAGAGATGAGAAACGCCTCTTCAGACGCAAGAAGAGAGAACAGGAGAGGCGTGAGTGTGAGAGCATTGAGAGCAGCAGATGCCGGAATGAAGCTCGTAACTTCTACCAGAGGGTTAAGCGTCTGACCCAAGGTTTTAAGACTGGAGGAGTTGCGTGCAAGGACGATGACGGAAACCTAGTCACTGATGCAGAGATTGTGCTGAGGTTATGGAGGGAGCACTTCTCAAGTCTATTAGCTGGCTCTGGCTATGATGACTATGGAGAGTATGATCCACAAACCCCAATCTATGGTACTGATGTGGACGTACCGACCCCAAGCCATGCCGAAGTCAAGGTTGCAATCCAACGACTTAAAAACAATAATTCCGCAGGTGCTGACGGCCTGCCGGCTGAATTGTTTAAGGCTGCTGGTGATATGTTGGTAGGGAGCATGCACCAACTAATCAGCAAGATATGGCTAACGGAGAGCATGCCCGACGATTGGAACCACAGCATGATCTGTCCTATCCTGAAGAAGGGTGATGCCACATTGCGCACCAATTACCGTGGCATTAGTCTTCTTCCAGTCGCATACAAGGTCCTTACGAGCGTACTATGTGAAAACCTGAAACCCCATGCTGAAGCACTGATTGGACCTTATCAGTGCGGGTTCAGGCCTGGCAAATCCACTATGGACCAGATTTTCACCTTGCGCCAAATCCTGGAGAAGTCCTACGAAAATCAGATCGACACATATCACCTCTTCGTCGATTACAAGGCTGCATTCGATAGTCCCCGGCGAGATCGCCTGTATGCCGCCATGTCTGAGCTTGGTATACCAGCAAAGCTAATACGGCTTTGCATGATGACATTGAGCAACACCATCAGCTCTGTCAGGGTAGGAAATGACCAATCCGAAACCTTTTATACCAAGTGTGGTCTCAGACAAGGCGACTCTCTGTCTTGTATGCTCTTCAACATTCTAATGGAGAGTATTATAAGGAAGGCTGGAGTGCATCGGACGGGCACTATTCTAACAAACAGATGTGTTCAACTCCTTGGCTACGCTGATGATATTGATATCATTGGCCGAACCAAGCGTGATGTTACAGCAGCCTTCGGGGCTATTGAAAAAGAGTCAGCTAAAGTAGGACTGGCAGTTAACATGGATAAGACAAAGTTTATGGTGTGCTCTAGCAGGGAATCGCGGCGTCTTGATTCCCAGCTATCTGCAGGAAGCCATAGCTTTGAGTTCGTGAAGGAATTCATTTACCTTGGATCTGCAATAAGTGGCACAAATGATGTCAGCCTGGAGATTAAGCGGAGAATCACACTTGCCAACAGGTGCTACTTTGGGCTCAGTAGGCACTTTAACAGTAGAGCTCTCTCTCGACCGACAAAAATAACACTCTACAGGACGCTCATTCTTCCAGTACTCTTATATGGTGCGGAGTGCTGGACAGTGGTGCAATCCGATGCAGCTGCTCTTGGAGTGTTCGAGAGAAAGATTCTCCGCAAAATCTTTGGTCCAATCTGCGTTGGCGATGCTTATCGCATCAGATGGAACCACGAGCTGTATGAGCTGTACGGGGATGTTGATATAGTAAGCCGAGTCAAAATTCAAAGACTCCGCTGGCTGGGTCACATCGCCCGCATGGAAGAAGACGCTCCGGCTCGTAAGGTATTTGATGCGGTAATCGTCGGAAAACGGAGGAGAGGACGACCCCGGATACGTTGGCAGGACCAGGTGATGGAAGCCCTGTCTACATCTGGTGTTACCAACTGGCGAGCGCGGGCCCAGGACAGGGAAGCGTGGAGGCAGATTGTGCAACAGGCTGTGACCCGATAGGGTTGTGATGGCCATTAATAATAATAATAATTATCGCACTCGAAGCTTTTCACAGATTTCAGTTGAATTGCTCTAAGGGGGCTGGCTGCTCTGAAGGATGTTTTCAGGTTTCCTTTCGACCACTTGAAATTATTTTTACGAGCCTGCGCCATCGGTCGGTGACCCAAACAAACGAGAGGGGGAAATCCAACCGTCCCGGTGGCAGGAAACTTCAACTGGACTTCAACTCCATGTCCATCCAATTAATTAAATGATTTAATCGCAGCAAATGTTGCTCGCATTATGAGCACAAAGAGCTCGTTTGGCCTACATAATGTTTGTACATCAGTTAACAGGAAGCAGGAGGGTTATGAATAAATGCACTCAAAGAATTATTGTATCCGTAAACGTATATATTAAAATATATAATATAGAAAAGAAACTTCGAGGTATGCATATTGATATTGATATAGTAGTATCTCCTTGAAATCCATATCTTTCCCAAAAGTGACTTAAGTTTGTTTCGTACAGTGTTTGTTTGATGGCCACTACAATTAATCCCTTCATCAGCAATTCCCACACTGTTGTCGGAAAACATTTGGCCATTCAGCCATCCTTATCGCAGCTGGCATTCCGTCGGTCGATTTCACTCCGCTCCATTCGAGGTTAAGTCTCCGGTTGGAATGTTCCGCCCGAGCGGAAGTGGCTTCCGACAGAAGCTAGTGGGCTTCACCCTGAAGGGTGCTCTCTATGGGTCATGGATCCTGGGCATATTTCCCTTCACCTACGACAGCTGGACGCGGAAATTGCATCGTTCCAAGTGGTTAATTGCATATGGCCTCGTTCTGACCACGACCCTCGTTGTGCTTGTGTGGACCAATGATACGGAGACCGAGACTCCGATGAGAATGGAAGTATTCCATAGAAATCCACTTGCCGAGCAGGTCAATGGTATTCACGATGTACAGAGCCTGTTTATGGTGGCCTTTATACTGATTAGAGGATACTGGAAGAGTGGCGACATAGAGAAGATATTTAATGAACTGCTGGATCTCCAACATCGACACTTTCGAAACTACCCACTGGAGGACTGCTGCAACTTTGATAGGTTCGTCCTGTACAAAGGACTCTCTATAGCGCTGGAGTTTGCTTCCATGGTGGTTTTGGAGCTTGGCTTGTCCCCGGATTTCAGTCAGCAGCTCTTGATAGGAGTCACCAGCTTGTGCCTAATGCTACTCGGCGTTCTTCTTGCAGCCTCTCACTTTCACCTGGCCGTGGTCTATATCTATCGATATGTATGGATCATTAACAGGGAGCTCTTGAGGCTGGCCAATGAGTTGGCAAATGGAAAGGAAGTGCAGTCGGATCGTGTGGATAAACTGCTTTGCCTGTACCATCGCCTGTTGGGAATCAACACTCGTCTGTCGAACATCTACGACTATCAAATGGTTTTGGTAATGACCAGTTTTCTGATTGCCAACGTTTTGGGCATCTTCTTTTTCATCATCTACACCATCAGCCTGAAAAAGGACTGGGACTATATGTTACTGTTCGTAATGCCCCAGGCTTTGGTCATCAATATGTTTGACTTTTGCTTGAGCATCGCTGTTTGTGATTTGGCCGAACGAACTGGCAGACAAACATCGACCATTCTTAGGTTATTCAATGACATAGAAAACCTAGACACAAAATTGGATAGAAGTGTGAGTTTAACTAGAATTTAATTATTAACAACTCCATGAGTATCTAAATCCTCTTCTAGATAACCGAATTTGCTCTATTCTGCAGTCATCGCCGGCTAAAGTTTCATCATTGTGGCTTATTTTATGTGAATTACGAGATGGGGTTCCGCATGGCCATCACCAGCTTTATGTACCTCCTTTTCCTGATTCAGTTTGATTTTTGGAATCTGTAAAGAAGGCACCCGAGGCTCTCTAATTGCTTCACACTTCCTTGTGCGGAAAGGGGGAACAACTGCAGGACCTGCATACAAGTGACAGCTCAAGATGTCAGGGGACTTTGAGAGGGCGGAAGAACAAGTGGGATATAGCCCCACAAGGAGTCGTGTCTGAGAGAGTGCCTTGTTGACTTTTTTGAGCAGGAGGGGAAAAGGGAATGGGAGCACTGCCGCAGGACATCAGCGGGACAAGTGCAGTTGGGGAAATCCTTTTCTACCCCAAAAATGAGGCTATGCAAAAGCCAAAAGGAGAGCACATACACAAGTCAAAAGCGTCTGAGGAATGGAGTAGCTGTGAAAGCAGCGCAATTAAGGCCAACAAATGAACGAGCTCTGAGCTTTTTGTACTTTTTGGCTGGCTAAGAATGCAGCTGGTTTTTCCGGTTAACAATGGCCGGGGAGTGAAGGAGAGTACAAAAGCCGTGGCTAACATGAGCAGCTTTGGTGCATTTTCTTTGTTTGCCTTTTGTGTCTGTGTATTTGTGTTTGTTTGTTTGTGTGAGAGAGTGTGTGTGTGTGCTTTGCTAATTTCCCTGACTGTGATTTCCCAGCTGCTGCCACATTTTCCCATTTTTCGCAGCTTGTTTTTTGCCTGATTTATTGTGCCCGGAGTTTGGCTTTTGTTGCGGATTTCCATTGAAATAAATACATGCTTTCGTATGCCATGATGAATTATTCATTTTTAATTAGATTTACCTGACTTCGTGTCACAGCAATGGCTTTAAAATCTTTGGGAAAATTAAATCAACAAATAAAATAATTGGTTTCATTGTTTATATTTAATTAATATTGTATTGCATATAACAGGTTGTGTAACACAAAGGTTCTAAGAATACAATTTTTAAGAATATTTGATTTGCAATTTTACAATTAAAGTGTTTGGTGGTGGAACAAAATCCTGTTAGAAAAAATCCCCACCGAAGGCTAAGGATAATCTGACTTTTGCCTGGCCACTTATTGACAGAGGCCAACCGCTGTCAAAGCCAGACCGAAGTCGCCACCTTTTGCTCCATCCTTGTGCGTATCCTTATCCCTAGCCCCGGAATCACTGCCATTAGCCTCGATTAGAACTCGAGAGGAGGCAGACAGTGCCAAAGGGACATCTGTAGGAATAGGAGCAGGAGCAGCTTTGGTGGATATAAAAACAACAACAAAGGACACGTCGCTCACAGCAAAAGTGCGTAAATTGATTTTATTATCCTGAATCCCCCTTTTTGGCCACTTCAGCGATATACCAATACCGATTCCCTTACCAAATTCTGCTTGGCTCTGCAAAAACTTTCAGCCAATTGTTTTGGGGGCGCCGCACTTTACCCGCGTTGTTCCCTTCGGCCAATATATTTGATTTATTGGCTTTATCCGGAATGCGCGCAAATTGTTCATTGCTTTGTTTACACCATAAAAACTCGGATGGACGCATCAGTTCGCCAAAATGTACCATCGCAGGATCGTAAATTTCCTCGATAATTTCTCCTCTTTACTCTTGCTATCCTGTTTTTGTCTGGCGGAATTTATTTATTTGCCTTGCCATTATTTTATGAGAGTATAAAAATCACTCAAGGCAATCCATATTATGTTGTGTTATAGCCCACATTAAATGATATGTTATAGATTTCAAATTATCCAAATGAGTGTATATCGTATGTTTTTATACCTATCTTTATTTAGTCATTTACAATTAATGTTTGCTTTGCTTATACAAATTGTATAAAAGGTTGGGTATTTCTTTCCTTAATCAGATAAAAGTTTAATTTGATGCTCTCACCCTTGTCTCACCTCAATTTCTAATTTGTTTCGTAAATTAATTAAAATTTGCCGCCAGGCTTTCCACGAAATTGAGCTGACTGACCATTTATTGTAATTAGAGGGGCGGTCCAAAGTTTTTCTTTTGGCTTCATTTGTGCCTCGGAAAAAGGACGCCCAATGCCTCAAAGGATTGCCAAGGGGCTGCAAGTGAAAGGTCAAAGTTTATCAGCAGATTTTTAATTTAAATTTATATGTTTTCCACCAACCCCAAAATGGGGCTATACATTTGATTGACTTCTCCCCTCCCCAAGGCAAATTGTGAACTTCAAGGAAAGCAGTTAATGAAAGGAACCTGCCGAGCCCCAAACCCTTTTCTCTAATTACGATAAATGTTCGCCAATTGTTCTATTGATTCGCCGCGGCTGCCTTAATTAGTTTGGCAATGCGTTAGAATTTGGCGGGCCTCCAGCCCGCAATTTATATAAGCCGATCGGGGCTGGAAACTCGACTCGAAAGTTTAGGCCTGGCCTCCTTGAAAGAAAACTTTTGCGAAATTAAATAATTGCCAATTTGCTGCAAGTTGCTGGCAGTTTAAACAACAATTCAGAGACGGGCAAAGCCGATTTGTGTCGCCGGCTAAAATGGAAAATCCCGTGGAGGAGGAAAAGCGAGAAAATGGAATGCAGCCAAGAGAGCCGAGCAATTAGTGGAAAGTCTGACTAAATATTGAAACTATAGAAAATTGCGTTTGGCGAAACTTAAATTAAACTTGGATGGGCGACAAGTTTTGGGATGATAATAAAAATGGGAGCAGGAAAAAGAAAGCTTTAAATTACTTTCAAAACAGATTATCCAAAGAGTCTTTATTGTTCTTTATCTTAGGGGGAGAAAATAAAAATAGAAATATATATTTTTAAATTTAAATGAGTCGAAATCTAAATCAATTTGTATTTGTTATATACATTGTCAGAATTAATATATAATATATTTTTAACGCCTTTGCAAAACAAATAATATTGATTATTTTCCATAAATTTTATTGTATCGTTCCCATAAAAAATACACAAAAAATCGATGCAATAAAAGAGATGATCAAATAATGTGAAAGCAAATTTGGAAAATATTAGCAAACTTATCACTACAAGGAAAAAGTTGTTATGAGCCTATTTTCTGCTGACAGGGCAAATCATCATAAAACGAAAATATTTTTATGAAATTTTCTGCTCGCCCGGAAAATGTCCGAAATGAAAATGGAAATGTGCGAAGCTCAGCAGAGGCGATAACCAGATGCTGTCATTTTAATAAAAATATATTGAAAGCTGGCAGAAATCGAGATGAGCGAATCGAATTATCCCGAACGCGTTGACGAGTTGCTAACAGCGGGAATGTTGACCTAATGCTCCGGCTCCACTCCTGCCATTTTATTGTGTAAACAAAGGATCGACCTGTGGGGGGGAGCGGCGAACGGGACGTCCTGGAGGCCTCCACGTGGCCCAAACAATTGGCGGATGTCCTGGGCCAGGGCAATAAATCAAATGCTTGTGTACACTTCAGTTTTTATTTTGTTTGCTTGCCGTGCAGATGAGCAGGAAATTTGCCAGAATCTCGAGGATATCCAAGGGGGTGCCGCCGAGAGCTCTCCTGCCTGCACAGGATAATAAAAATCAATTTACGCGATTGTGTCGAGTGTGGCCTGTGTGCTGGGCCTGCCTGCTATCGTTTGTGCTGGCTTTGTGCTCTCGATAATCGAAGATAATGGGGGTCCCTTGGCGAAGGGCGAAAAAGGACCGTGGGGGCCTGTAGCTGACAGCCAAGGACGAAGGACCTGCCAGTGTCTGCTGGGTGTGTGTGTGTGTGTGGGGATCTTTTGTTTGACTTTTGTTCCCTGTTCTCGCATTGTTGGCCTAATTGTTGCCTGTCAGTTGTAGTTTTCTGCATTTACGCGGCCTAAATGTTGCCAATGTCTGGACAAACGAATAATGGAAAAAGATAGAAAAATAAGCATAAATCAAACGGGCATATATAGACAGAGAAAATCATTGGATCACTTGGAAAAATAGAGGTGATTTACCCTAAAGTATATATATCTGGGCTTAAGAATATATAAAAATATTTACAAATAAATTAAAGTAGCTAGAAAATCTAGTAGTTTGTATTTAATTTGATTGCAGAGAACAATTTTATTAAACTACTATATATTTATTTAGGATCAAGTAGGTTTAAATATAGACTTACTAAATAATTTCCTATATTTTCTGGTTAATTAAATATTTATTTTATTTTATGTTATTATTGTGTAGGTGAAATTACCAGAACAAACAAAGCAAAACGTGGTCAGTAAGCTTCTCATGTAATCAGATTCCATTGTTCGCTAAAAACAAATGAAAAAGGGAATACTTTTGGTGTAAAAGAAAGTACAGAAGGCAAAAAACTCGTTCAGTTGCTGGCCTTAATTGCACTTCTTCTTTGTAGCCACTCCATTGCTCACACTCCATGTGACTTTGTATGCTCTTCGCCCCCTTGACTTCTGGCACAACCTCCTTTGATGCAGAAAGGATGGCAAAGGAGTGTGTTTATATTGCCACCCTGCGGCCCCGTTCCGATTTTCCCTCACATTTTCCAGCAGCAAGTCATTCACTTTACTCGTTTGACGACATCGGTTTGCAGGGCCTGTGATTCAGCTTTTATTGCCATGATGTCACCTGCTCAATATTGCATCTCATGGCAAGGGATTTAGTGAGAGCTTTAAGGTAAGTCCCCACTAAGCTGCCCGGAGAGTTACAAGTTCATGAAGTCAAACTGCACAAGAAAAAGCAAGTACAGGAAACTAGTGACGAGCATTTGAAAGCCCATCTCACGGTTTACATAAAACAGACCACAGTGAAGGAATTTAAATCTCCGATGGCTGCAGAGCAAAGCAAAGTCGGAGATCTGCTGGAATATGTAAATATATATCAATAATATATAAATAAGCTTTCAACTTACACTCATTTCTAGTGCCTTGTCCATGTTCTCGATGTCATTGAACAACTTCAGGATCATGGAGGTTTGTCTACCAGTTCTCTCCACCAAATCACACATAGCAATGCTGAGCCAAAAGTCCAGGAAATTGTTGAGCAGAGCCAGAGGAAACATAATCACCATCGCAAAGAAGGACATCTTGCTTAAACTGACGGTGTAGACAATGATATAGAAGGACACGATGATGTTGGCTGCCAGAAAAACGATCATCATCAGGGCTGTCTGATAGTCGTAGCAATCAGTCAATCTTCCGTAGAGATCCACCAGCTCCCTGTAGAGTTTAAGGAGCAAGCGAATTCGGGATGAGCCTCCGGATGGATGAACCCTCAAGTAACTAGCCAAGTCGAGGAGTTCCCTATTGATGGACCACACAAAACGGTAGATGAAGGCCACTCCAAGGTGAAAGTGTATGGCCAGAAGGAATGTTCCCAACTTGATCAGTGTTACGACAATGAGATAACTTATGGGCAGCGATTGAGTGGGTGCTCCAAAGTGCACCACAATTGAGGATGCCACTCCTCCGACTATCAGGAGTCCCTTCTGAATCACATAGGCATCGAAAGTCTGGCACTCTACTGCGTTTGAGTAAAAGTATCTCCTTTCCAGTTGCATCAGTTCATTGTATATTTTTTCCAGATTCTTGCTTCGCCAGAAGGTTCGCACGTAAATTGTGCAGATGGCCAGGACACCGAAGACTCCCAACAGCAGACTGATTTGCTTCAGCACAAAGTTCCTCTCAAATACATCCAAGTTTCCCTCGTTTCCTTTAGTCTCTCCCTCATGTTTTAACATGAGGAAAAGCAAACCTGAGTTCAGTACAAATCCATAGAGGAGTAACCATTTAGAGCGATGCAATCTCCTCTTCTGGGGCTCATAAATAAAGGGGAATATGCCAAGCAGCCATGAACTGTACAGAATTGAATTCAATATAAAGTAGACCAGTTTTGGACGAAAACCAGCACGAACCCGGAACATCTTTCACCGACTGCCAACTCGGTACTTCCTTATTAGCCACCACAGTATAAATCAATAAAAGTTTAATCCTTTTACCTATGAATATCTAAGTATCCCTTAGGAAAATAATAATACTAGCTGATGGAATAATCAAGAACTGGGAATCAATAATAAAAATAGGCAGTCTTCGTTAGATTTCGATTTTTTTATTTATCATCATACTAGAATTTACAGCGAATTAATTCACACTTGATTGTAATAATTAGTATACCCTTGCTGGGTATTATAAATTTAGTCAGAAGCTTGTTACTAGATGAATGTCAACTTAGTTATGATTAATATTGGATTCGATCTTATAATTCGATTGCAAGCTTCAAGGGCATATAAACCAAAGTTTCCGTTTAGTTTCCTTTATCTATTTATTTACTTTATATATATAAGTATCTTTCACAAGTTCTTAAAATCAAACTGAACTAAATAAAGCAGATACAAAAAACTTGTAATGATCGTATTGAAACCCATATTGTAGTTAACCGAAAACAAACCAAACAATCGAAAGCGAAACTTGGCGTGACTGCAAAGCCATGCAAACTCATTTATCTGTGGATTAAGAAATACAATATTAATCGTGACAATAATCGTGTTTAATATACCTACACTTTTTTCCAGCTCTACATCGAGGTTCTCTTCATTACAGAATAACTTCAGGATTGCAGAGGTTTCTTGGCCGGTTTTCTCTGTGAGATCACAAACAACAATGCTAAGCCAAAAATCCCAAATATTCAGCATTAAAGAATGGATAAATACCACTACAAAAATGGATGGCTTATTCATACTGAATTCGAACACGATTAGGAAAAAGACAACCACAATATTGCCAGCAAACCCAGAAAGTAAAATAAGCGTCATATGCAACTCGTAAGCCGTTTGCAGTTTCTTATTTAGCTCCAAGAGGTGTCTGTATATAGAGAGAAGTTCTCGAATCCTGGCGGATATTAAGTCCGTCATGGGGATAGATTGATGGACCAGTTCCATGAGTTGTCCATTGATCAACCACACATTTCGGTAGATAAATAGTACGCCCAGATAGCAATGCAGCACTTTAAGGTTGAGACCCACCTGGGTCAAGCACATGAGTAGAGATGTCCAGAAGTTTGTTATATTTCCTGCATTGCGTAGTGGACTCCCATGAGAGTTAAAATCGCTGCTATGATAGTCACACTCTTTTGGATCACAAAACAATTTAGTTTGGGACAATTCCACAAGTTCATAGCCCCAAAGTGATGATACTCTAGAGCCAACAGTTCATTGATTATCCGCAGAATCTGGTTGCTCCTCTGGAAGCTCATCAAGTGCACTACGATGGCTGAGAAGACACTCATTATTCCAATAAGTATATTTATCTTTTCCAGCAAAGGATTCCGCTCAAAGGCCTCTAGCTTAGAAGGCTTTTCAGTTTCAAAACTGATGTATATGAGTATGAAGAGCAGGAAGAAGTTTAAAATTAAACCGTAGAGTCGAAGGCATTGGGACAAACTTATTTGTTTTTTCCGGCAATTAAATATAAACGGAAATAATCCGAGTATCCAAGATCCGTATAGAGCAGCGCTCAGGATAAACCAAGCCCAGTTCTGACAAAAGCCGCGACGTGGTCGAAACATTTCTAACACCACCAACAGTTGGCTAACAAATGTGGGGAAGTGGTAAGAAAAAATGGAATAATAATTAACAGCGAACCGGAATGTACTTAGATTGTTGTTCAAGTTAACGCATCTGAGCAAACCCTTTTAGGTTTATTAAATTGATAGTGAATTATCGATCGAAAAGGCATTTAAATAGCAGCTCATTTTTTAAGTACTTCTTATAAGAAACATTTAGTATATACATAAATGATATCACAATTTCAAGTTTTATTTAGTAGCAACATTGAAATATGCAAATATATTGATTGCCTATATATGACTTGATAAAAGACTATATTTACTTGAATTTAAATTCATATAATCAAATTGCACCAAAAAGACCACATATAGAATATTCGTGATGATCATGTGGAAACCCATCTCATAGTTTACGTAAACAATCCGCAATGGCGTAACCTTAGTCTGCGATGACTGCAAAATAAGTTAAACTCTTCGATCTGTTGAAACAGAAAAATAATCGACGATAAGTCATTATACAAGGTATTTCCTTTCACCTTACCGTTTGCTTCAGTTCTCCTTCCATATTTTCAATATCATTGAATAGCTTCAAGATTGTCGATGTATTTTGCCCGCATTCTCAGCCAAATTGCAAAAGGCAATACAAAGCCAAAGATCCCAAAATTAATGACTAAGGCTTGTGGAAAGATCAGAACCATAATCCAAAAGTCGAATCTCTTTATGTTGATCCAAAAGATGACCAGAACATGGCCTATAATGATATTAGCTGACATCAGAGTGCCCATGAAAAAAGTGACCTGGATGTCGTAAATGGAGGCTAGGCGACTGTTCAGTTCCAGAAGGCGTCATATAGCCAGCGGAGCCGCTGGACCCTTTCCGGGTCTGCCCTCTGACCCCTTCTCAGCTGATTGGCCAGGTGTAAGAGCTGTCCGTTGATAATCCATACAAAGCGATATATATAGATCACTCCCAGGTGGGAGTGCATCACCACAAGGAGTACTTCCAACTGGACTAAATAGATGCACAAAGCCTCGTGCACAATCAATCTGCTTTCCGGTATCCCGAAGTAGATCAATAGGGAGGAACCGATCTCCAGGATAATCAGCAGTCCTTTGTGAATCACATATTCGTCAAACTTGTGGCAATCTCGAAGATTTAGTTCCCTGAAATGACTCTTTTCCAGCAGCAAAAGTTCATTGAGGATCTCTGCTAATTCCTGGCTTCTATAGAAAACCCTTAGATGGTGACCACCGTGGTTATTAAGCCAATGATCTCCACAAGAATTCAACCTGCTTGACTAAGGGATTTCGCTCAAAGACCTCAGCCTTGATCGAATTGTGGTCATCGGTTTCCGGCAGCACCGAAAGCACCAGCAGAATTGTGTTCAAACACAGTCCATAAGCGAGAAGCCATTTGGAAGTTGCAACTGGTTTTTTCCTCGGATCGAAGATGTATGGAAACAGTCCGAGTATCCAGGATAAATAAAGGGTTGCCTTCAGAGTAAACCGCGCCAGTTTCTGGCGAAAGCGACTCGATTGTAACATTTCTGAACGCGTAATAAGGTCGGGACAGGCTAATAACTCATCGAAGCCAATCCGATGGGGGAATAAAAAAGCTACGGTGGCACTGATAAGCCATCTAATTATAGAGAAATGATTGGTTACGGAAAAATTACTTTCCCTGCCGAAGGGAAATTACACATAAGGCTTACTTTAATGCTAGCAAAAGGGAAAATTAAAAAGCAAACAATTTAAAAGATTATTAGGCCAGTAACCTTTGAGTTCTGGTTGAGTTAAAAAAGGGATTGAGAGGGATAAAGTAAGTATTTTATTATTATTACCACAGTAAGCTTCAGATTCAACGCATCTTCCATCATTATTTTTTACCTTTTCCCTAATGGCCGCAACAAACTTTCAAGCGGTCTTAACTCGGCTTCCCGGGGTACCTGCAGTTTTTGGACACTGTTGCAAAGTTAACACTTTTCCAACTCCCTTCCCTTGAGGCAGTTATGTTTGTTTTTGTAAACTTTTGGCAGGTGTCACCAGCAAATGCCCTTCCTTATAGCATTTTCATTAATAAAAGTAATTTTTGAGGCTTGATTTTTGCAATGTGATAATGGATTCCAGGAGGATATATTCAAATATTTTTAAAAATATTTACTCCTTAAAAACAGGCACTTTCTGTAAGCTAATTCATTGTTTGGGTTAAAATGCGAACCCACAATCTCAGCTCTCTCATTTAGTTCCATTTAACTTACATATCTCAGAGCAGTTTCTTCTCGTCGTTAAACCGCATTCTCATAACAATTGAGTGAAGCTAAGCCGCATCCTCGGGCTGTGCTTTGCCAGTCCTTTTGGGGACATTCGCTTCAGGATTTGCAATTACAATTAGTACGAGCAGTTGTCGACACAATTGCAGTTTGAATTTTTAATTGTTGGCCACAACAAGCAAACTGAGAGTAAATAGAGGGCAACAATGCAGACGAAGATCCTTTCAGGTGTTTGGACCTCCTGCGGCTCATCCAATTTGCATCGCAAATGAGTGGAGCGGCTTCACCCCCTTTAGCTCTTTGCCCTTGTGCTTTAACCATTCGCAATTCCAGCTTAATTAAACACAAAATTGCCTCCAATTGGCACATATTTTCCCATGAACGAGTTTTCTAACTTCTGCACAAGCTGTGAAAAGCCACAGCAGGGGAAAAACAGGGACATACTTGCGGTGGAAAATAGCTGAAAAATGTACCCCATTCCCCGAGCCATCCTCCACTCCTAATTCTGATTAAACGCAGCATTCAAGTGTCAAAGGCCACATTTTGGTGTTCTCCCTTTCCCCATCTTTATATTTTCTTTCCTTTTAAACTCGCTAAGACGTGCGTGATTCAATTTAAAATAAGGCGCGAAAAAACAACACCTCAAAGCAAAAGAAAAGCAGACGTTGCGTATACGCCACGTAAGCCGCCTTGGAGGCAGTCGCTTGCAATTAGGCAACACAACTCAGCTCGCATAATTAGAGGATAAAAAAGGATGAGGGATCCAAGGGATTCCTCCTGCCAACTCAAAGTTAAGCTGACAAAAGGGCGACTACAAAAATAAGAATGGGAGATGCTAAGGGTAAGTTCAGAATGAGTTAATTAGATAAATGAAATAAAGATATATTTATATGTTTATTTATAAAATTTAAGAAAGAAAATGTTGTGTTTGTTTGTTGTTTTCAACCTGACAAAGATAGATTGATTTAGTTTTTGATTCTGATCAAGATTTATGGGGTCGGAAATGACTCATTTACCGCATTGCAAGCTTCTGACTACAATTACAATACTTTGCTAGGCTATAGAAATACAAAATTGAAAAAGAACTGAAT